AACCGACCGACGACTACGAGAGGCTCCGCAACGAGCGCATGCAGCTACTAAGACAACGCAGAGCAGCCCGTTCAGTACTTCACGAAGTACACGCCGCTCATCATGAGGCTAACCGCACGCCAGCGCCCGAATCGTCGCCTCCCCCGTTTTGCGCGGACGTGCTCGAATCCAGGGGCCCTCCAGGGACGGTCGCCGACCCGCCCAGGACCCAGGAAGAGACAGAGCTGGAAGGCAACCCATGCGCCACACGCGAACAACCGATCACGGAGACCGAGCAGCGCATGCGCGAGATAGAGAAAAAGCTGCAGGACATCACGAAGACATGCCAGCGACAACGACGACATGCACAGCAACTACGCCCAGAGCAACGAGCCGAAGAACTATACGAGGCGTGGGAGGAAAGGGACCCGGCAAGAGTTGGAAGACTATCACGATTGATCGCGGGAGGAAGATACGGACCACGCAAGAGGGGCTTCTGGGCGGCTACGACGGCGAACCCCACGAAGCAGGAATTGCTTGATTTTTGGCAACTACCAGGAGGCTCAGGAGGCATGGAAGGCACCGATCAGGACACGCAGCACCTGGAGGCCATCCCGCACAACGCAGAGGAGAAGGACTACAACGAGGATGACTTGGAGGAAAAGACAGAGGAAGACTACAACGAGATTGCCAAAAGCCCCAAACGAGCACGCCTGCGACGAGCAGCACCACCAACGGCGGCGCCAGCGGAGATATGGCGACTACTACTATGCCCACCGAATGCGGAACACCAACCACGCCAACGACACGGCCTCGGACATCAAGAGGGAGATGGAGAACCCGAACAGTTTCAAGCGTTATTGAAGGCGGCCTTGGCTGCGATACGCATCAGCAACGTGGCGCCTGTTCGATGGCATCAAAGCACGGCGACGGCGGTTAAGAAGAACACGAATAAAGGACCAGCAGGCAAGCGAATCTACCACATCATGGAACCCATCGGCAAGGCATACTACGCTGCGGGACTCAGGAGGCATCGACAACAAACCCACGCGGACCAGGACTACGGGTTCATCAGGGGACGACCGCGAGAAGGAGCCATCCTCGCCATGTCAGTCATCGAGTACAGGGCTCGCAACGCAGGCTACAATTACGCGTCCACCATGAAGGACATGTCCAACGCGTTCGCCAGTTGCAAGTGGCGTGCCATGGACGCGGCCAACAGCAGCACCATGCCGCAGGACCTCTGGGACCTCGGAGAACAACGATACCGCAGGGCGACGTTCAACATTGATTGCAGAGACGACGCGCAGGGAATATGCATCAAGCCCCGCTGCGGCGGCCCCATCGGCGACCCCTACATGGCGCGCAACTTCGTGGCCAGCTTCGCCCCTTGCATCCAGGGGTGGACCAAGGACTGCAACGACGAGATAGAGTACGACGAGTTACTGCATGGAAGAAGCGAACTGTTCCAACATCCAGTATACGTGGGGCTGACGAAGTACGCGGACGACATACGCAAGATCATCTTGAACGGGAAACAGGCCAATCCCAAAATGCTCGCCGACCAGGCTCGCAAGATAGACGACGCGCCGAACAGGCGCCTGAGCGAGATCGGCCTGAAGCAAAACCAAGGTAAGCAGGAGACGATAGTACACTTTCAGGGAGAAGGCGCCAGCCAGGCGCATCAACGAATCAAGAATGACACGCAATGCAAACTTCCAGGCAACGTGGTGGCTGTGGCTCGGTACATGGGCCCTCAAGTAACAACGACGCAGAGCTACTGCCCAGAGTTGCAGAAGCGTATCCAGGCCATGCAGAAGAGCAACTACGAGTGCGGCAGGTTCTGGACCACGCGAGAGATACCCTACAAGTGGAAGCGCGCGGTCCTCATATGCAGGGTCAGCAACACGGGGCTTTCGTGCGTCGAGTGCTACTTGTCCACGCCCAACGAGTACCATATGCTCCAGAGCGCGATGTGCGCCCTCCTGAGACGGGCGATGGCAGGCCGAGCCAGCACGCGCTGCGAGGACGGCTCGGTACGTAGTTTGACAACGCTGGAGGTCTTCCGCTACTGGCAGATCCTTCCTCCAGCGGAGGAGGCACTGGTCCGCAGACTTGGCTGGGCCAAAAATATATTGAGATTCCCGAACAATCACCGCCAACTCATCGTCGCCTTTTTCGGACGCCTCGAATTCGAGACCAACGATGACGGCGCGACAGACGAGCTGACGACGCACACGAACCCCTGGGCCCGACGAATCGAGGAGGATGTTACGAAGGCCCGCCAAGTCTCGGAGAGCTTCAGAACCATCTTCGGGGAAGAGCAGGTCAAGATAGGTAAGATGGTCACGCTAGCGATTAGAGAACAACTGCACCTACTAGACGTACGCGAGGTCAGAGCAGCTAAATTGACGGTAGCAGTTCCTCCCCCAGGCTATACTCCCAACGACGAACTCCGAGAAGACTTAGCCCTTCAGGACCTCCAGCCTTGGAAGTGCTCGCTCGGGGACGATTCTGGGGAATGCGGACTACTGTTCGCGAGCAAAAAAGCGCTACACAGTCATGTCATTCGGAATCATAACGTTCACAATTTAGCCGCTCTATTAACTACGAACAACGAGTGCATCAATTGCTGCCAGTGCTTCGCGAGCCGTGGAACAGCCTGGGAACACCTGGCCAGGAGTTTGATCACGGGCAGCTGTAACCCAGATAGGACACGAAACCAGAGCCAGCCGACTAAACCGAGCACGAAATGTCCTCTCTGCAGCCATCTCTTCTTAGACAAGGGCGCCTTCTTCGCACGCCTGTGCACGCATCTACCCAGACCGCTACTACGACCTCAGGCACAGGATGGCGCTCTTCGACCAGCGCCCAGCCTGGGCGCCAGCGGCGGCGGCAGGAGGACCTCAGCGACCAGACCGCAGTCGACAACCACGACGAGCTGCCGCAGGAGGAGCACCAGCGGGGGGAGGAACAGCGGTGGCCAACCCGCACATAGTGGACCTCGCGGCGCGCCTCACCCTCACGCTGGCGCGCGAGCAGGCCGAGCTGGCGTCGGCCATCATCCAGACGTGGGAGATCAGCGCGCAGAGCGGCGTCGCGCAGGCGGGATTACAGGCGGGCCAGACGTGCAACGACGACGCGCAGGACCTACGACGCAGAGCAGCAGATGGAGAACAAGTGGACACGGCCTCGCTCGGCAGCCCCCGCATCCGCGTGCGGGCCGAAGCGGTGAACTACATGGGGCGCACGTACGACGCAGGAGCGGAGAGAGACTACCTCGAGAAGTACTACAAGGACGTCATCTTGAGTGGCAGCGCGGAGAAGGTAGCAGACGGAGCCCCGATCTTCCGCGCGCGCAGGAACAGGGGCGAGGAGGGGGGCGCCGCGGAGAAGTGCAGGTTCCAGGTGAAGGCAACGGACACGCAGCTGGAGACGATCCTCACGCGCGCCCTCCGCAAGGAGGGAGCGAGCCGCAAGATCGGGGCGGCGCCGCGCGGAGCACTGGAGCGAGAACCGGGACGTCTCGTCAACAACTGAGCCAGAACGACGCGGGGAGAGGAGCGGCGCATAGCGATGTGACTGAGCGGACGGCGCGGCTCTGTTCTGTCCCAGCGGGCGCGGCCCCTCAGGCCATCCCGCGAACTTTTCTCACCAGCGCGCGATTCCACGAGCTGGTCAGGGAAGGCCGCCTCCCCCCTCCTCCGCCTCCGACTGGGACTCCCGACCTTCTCCAACTCCGAGGCCCGAGCTTTCCCAACTATTTTGTCGCGCACCGACCTCCCCCGCCCCCACCCGAACCGAAGCGAAAGGGTAGGGGAAAGGGGCGAGGCAGACGAGGCAGGGGGGGAGTAGAGGAGCCAGTGAGAGGGCACACGTAAAAGCGGGTGCTACCCTGCCCGCAGACCCCTGCGTGGGGAATGTCGGTGCAGGTAGGGCCCGAGCGTCTAGTGGCGCCCGCGACCCCCTTTCAGCAAAGTGACCTCAGCTAGGCCACACAACTTTAGTAAGCAGCGCAGCACGAGCGAGAGTGCAGCACCGAACCGGCCCGAGAGCTCGATCGATCGATCGATCCTTCTCCTCCGCCATCCACACCGATCCCTACCTCCTGTGATGGGCGCGGGGGTTGATAAGGGGATAAAGGGGGTCTATCAGTGGATGCCAAGGTGGGTCATTTCTGGCCCAACCTAGCTAATAAGTGGGTTACAAATGCCCCGAGTGGCTTGGGGGAGTAGACAGCTCCGCGGAGTTGGCTCCGCCCACTAAGTCTGGATCGCCATCCCCCCCAAGCCACTTGGGGCATTAGCAACCCACGCATGAGCTAGGTAAGGCCAGATATAACCCACCTTGGCGTCCACTGATAACCCCCCTATCACCTTAGCAAACCCCTCGCCCATCCCAGGTCTCGGGCCGAAGACGGGCAAGGGGCGAAAACGAAAAAGAGGCTCACAGGCCCCGCTCGGTCGGGGCCAGGGCCGGGGCGACTCCGCTCCAGAACGTGCCGGAGCGCTCCGAGGAGGCCGCGGCGCCCTGGGCATCCTCTGGAGCCGCAGGGTCTCAGG